TTTGCTTTGATTCTAATTTTATGCAAGTTCCAGTGCAATTTAAGCTCTTGAAACATAATGGCTAGAATACTTTTTTCTAATTATAGTTTTGAACTTGGCAGTTATTTTTCAATTAAGTGAGAGCACAATTCAAAGTTTTTTTCTCTTTTTTCAGATGCCTACAAAATCTCCCTGGAGCCAGAAATGAAGTCGTCATATTTGCCTGCTCCTTGAGATCTGTAGGAATTCAATTTCTTTTCTCGTGGCATATAAAATATAATTTTAAAGTCAATTACAAGAAGGAGTAATCTGCAGTCTGCAAAATTGACTGGTTTGATAATTTGACTATAAGACATCTTTAATGATTGTCAGGAGATAAACTTTAACTGTAAACGGCTAAATATATTTATAAGAAAAGTACTGTATCTCTTGCTACATGAACATGAAGCTTATCCAAATACAACATCAAAAGTTGTGTTTTAAAAAAAACAAACCCATACAACACAGGGATTAAATGATGTGGAAGCTCATGCCAGCTGCAGTCTATGCATTATGGCCAAATCAGAAGGATTGGTAAATGCCGTTGTAAATTGTAATTTGTATGCAGTATTTAAGCAGAGGGTGGAGTTTGATGAAGAAATAAAACGAGTATCATGCTTTAAAAAAAATGACACAACTATGAAAGCACAGTTCAGTCACAAACTTTCCTTTCAAAGTAGAGGGGTGAAAACAAGGCCACAGCTCTGGAGGAGGCGGCCCCAGCTCCGTGAAGAGAAGAGGGAACCAGTGAACGGGCCAGAAGCCCCCCTTCCCCCCTAATTAGACCTACAAGTGCAATAAATCTCACTCCTCTTTTTCCAAGCTAAGCTTCCAAAAGGATGATGGCAGCAATGAATCTATGGTTCAGGGTACTCCAGCCCCCAGCCCTCCCCCATTCTAAATAAAGGGTATGAAGAGGTGGAGGGAAAAGTGGAATGAAAAAACAGAGAAACAGAGTTTTCTGGGGAAATAAGCACCCCTCCCCAAGTTCATGCCAGCACAGCCCCAAGCATCCTCACGCACACGCGGGAAAGAGACAACACACACCAAGCACATCCAAGACAGAGGAAAGGAGGGGATTTTAAGCCACAGCTCACGATCCCAGGGACACAATCCTGAGCAGGCAGCGGGCGGGGTGGAGGAGCCAGGGAGAGGAGCGCAGGCCGGGAGGGGGAGGCAGCGGCAGCGAGCTGGAGGGGGGGGACGCTGGGGGAGGAAGGCAGCAGGGATAAGGGAAGCTGGGACAGCCCGGGACCACGGGAGCCCCAGCCCCACACAGCAGCCACCCCAGCGAGAGGGAAAGAAAGAGCCAGGGAGGCGGGCAAAGCGCGGGGAGAGAAGCAGAGAAGAAATATTCACCTTCCCGCCTCATGCCCACTTTGAGGCACTTCTTGAGGCGGCAGTATTGGCACTGGTTGCGGTGGTGCTGGTCGATGGGACAGTTCCTGTTGGCACGGCATGTGTAAGTTAAGTTCCTGCGGACGCTCCTCTTGAAGAAACTTTTGCAGCCCTCGCAGGTGAATTGGCCGTAGTGCTTGCCGCTCGACTTGTCCCCGCACACCACGCACTCGATGTGCTGCTGGCTCTGGCCCGAACCGGGCGGGCCCTGGCCCTTGTCCCCCGCCGTGCCGGGGGTGGCGGGCGCTCCGGGCTGGCCCGGGGTCTGCGGCGTGTGCGGCGCGCCCGAGCCCGCCTGCTGCTGCTGCTCGCCGGCGCCACCGCCGCCGCGGGCCGCCTGCGCTGCGGGGTTGGGGCCGCCGGGGTTGCCCCCGGCCACGTCGTCCTGCGGATCTCGCCAGCTGCTAACTACCATTGCCATATCTTTGGGCCCGGGGAGCGCTGGGGGGAGCCGAGCTGCTCGCCGAGGGCCGCGGGGCGCGCGGGCGCGCTGGGAGGGGAAGGGGAAGGGGAAGGGGAAGGGGGGAGGGGGAGGGGGCGGGGGGCCCGCCGGGCGCCCCGGGGTCGCAGGAGCCGAGCCCGACTCGGGCACCGGCCGCTGCCTCCGCCGCAGCCGCCGCTGCCGCCGCTACTGCCTTGGCCGCCCCGCTGCTGCTGCGCGCCCGCCCGCCCTGCTGGCGTTTTGTTGTGGTTCCTGCTGTTTTCTTTCTCTCTTTTTGCAGCCCCCCCAGGCTCTCAGGCTCCCCCCCAACACCCCTGCTCCCCTCGCCCGCTCCCCCCGCTCTCCGTTCCTGGGGGGGCCGCGCTCTCCTTCCCCCCCTCCCCACCCCCCGGCGAGCAAGCTCCCTTCTCTCGCTTTTTTCTTCTTCCCCAAGTTGCAAAATCAGAAATGGCACAGGCGGCAGCCGGGAGCGGCGCGGGGCGCAGCGCCGGGGGCGGCGGGCATGGGCCACGGCGCGCGCACACACTCGCCCTCCGCCTCGCCCGCACCCCCGCGCACACACACACTCGCACACACACTCGCTCACCCGCGCCGGGCGCCCGCCCGCCCGCCGGCCGCTCGGGCTACGCGCAGCGCGCGGGCTGAGCCGACATAGAGGAAGCCGGCGAGGGTGGAGGCGGCGGCGGCGGCGGCGGCGGTGGAGGAGGAGGTCGCGGCTGCAGGCGCCTCTGGAGCTGCCGCCTCAGCTGCTGCGGCGAGCGCCGCTGGAGGAGCCCGGGCCCGGGCCGGAGTCCGAACAGGAGTCGGGGCCGCAGCCGGAGCCCGAGCGGAGGCCGGGGCCGCCCGCGCCGCCGCCGCTGTCCTGGCGGGAGCCCTCGCCGGGCTCGGGAGTGCGGGGAGCGCGGTGAGCGGAGCAGGGCGCTGGGCGAGGCTGCCGGCGGCGATCAGGGCGCGCGGGTGTCGGGGGGCCAGGTCCAGGGCCGGACGCAGCCAGCCATTCAGGAAGACAGCGCTGGAGAGCGGGAGGCAGCCGGCGAGGAAGATCACACACTTTGCTCTTTTTGTTGTGCGGGTGGCGCCGGGCTCTCGCTGCCTTCTTCTTTCGGGAGGTGACGGAAGGGGGAGAAAAATACGGGATAATTCACGCCAGCGACGAATTCACAGCGAAATAGAAAAAATAAAAATCAGAAGGAAATAATTGCCAAAAAAAAAAAAAAAAGGAAAAAGAAAAAGCGAGAGAGACATCCAAAGTAGGTCGAATAAATAATCCTCTTCTTTTCCTCTTTCTTGCTCCTTCTTCTGCTTCTTCTGCTATAACACACAGAGCTAGTTAAAAAAACCCTGGAGATCGCCCAAAAATGTTCTTTTTTTAGTATTTTAAATAAGTGCTCTTCAGCCGGGAACCAACACCCTCCCTCCAAAAAAAATCATATATGTATAAAATAACGATAAGAAGAATACGAAGGGGGTGCCTCCTCCTCCTCCTCCTCCTTTTTTTTTCTTTAAGTTTAGCCCTCTCTCTTCTGCAGGAATGGAGTAAAAGAGACAAGGAGGAGGGAGAAAAAGGAGAGAAAGAGGGAGAAGGGGAAAACAACTAGTAGAATATGTAAGAAAAGAGAGAGAGGAGAGAGAAGAGAGGGAGAGAGAAGAGAGGGAGAGAGAGAAGAGAGAGAAGAGAGGAGGGAGAGGGGGGAGAAAGAGAGGAGAGAGGAGAGAGAGAGACAGAGAGAGAGAGAGAGAGAGAGAAGAGAGAGAGAGAGAGAGAGAGAGAGAGAGACCCAAAAATTGAATGCGTTTAAACGGGAGGACTCGCAGAGCAATGTTTCCGAAAGGGGGATCTGCGCGAATGTCTGTATATAGTGAACTTTGACACTACTATTGAAACTGACACGTTTCTATGGAGATCGCTGCCTTATATGGAGCTCGTGTCAAGGAGCCAAGAGAAGGGCTGCTGGCAACTGATAATCAAAGGCGACTGACTGGTCAGAGCCCTGAATCGGGGGGAGAGAAAATGGGAGGCTAAGGTTAGCCAAGCCTCCTGCACGCCATTGGTTGGAGAGCCCCTCCCCCTCCTCTTTTTCTTTCTTTCTTTCCCCCCCCCCTCCCTCTCAGCTACCTACAGACTGGGATGGCTTGGGGAGGAGGAGAGAAAGTGAGGGAGGGGGGTGTGCTTCTGACAAGCGCAATTTACATTGAGATCGCTCTGCGCTGCTATTTACTCTGAGACCTGATTAGTATGGGTCGTCTATGGTCACACACACACACACACACACACACACACGCGCGCGCACACACACACACACCAGAGGGGGAAGGGATGACGAGAGGGAGAATGCCTTTCGGTGGGCGAAAAGAGAATTAGAAGGAAATTATTTTGATTTCTTCTGAAAAGTTTTTAAAATTAGATTTTATGAGCGCGAAGGGTGCAATTGAAAATGTTTGGAAAAGATTTTAATGGGAATAAAACCCTCACCATTTTAACGATTCGTGAAATATACTGGGTTTGGACTGTTTTCTTCGTTCACATATAAGCATAATCCAAGTCTGGATTCGGCTCATTTTGTATTCTTTTTAGAAACAAGATAGGGTGTCCCTGTTTTTTTGATCCAAAGTATATCTTGGTTTTAAAGGTTTAATCACGACAAAGCACACTCCTGGAATTTGCAGCTATTCCATCTGAATCAATGATTCCTATTCATCTCAGAGATTTTAAAAATAAACTTTCCAATCAATCCGATTTTTCCTTCTTCATTTTTTTGTCATCCCCAGGCTGTTCCAAACTCCAAACAATGCTTCAATAATTATTAATAAAACAGTAGTAAGTCCTCATATTGTTGCGCGGGGGGAGGTGATTAGTGTGGCCAAGTCGGTCCCAGGAAAAGAGCAAACGACCGAGAAGATGGAGAAGGGGAGAGGTGGGGGTGAGAGAGAGAAGAAGAGAAGAAGGGGGGGAGGAGGAGGATGGAGAGAGGGAGAGAGGAAGGGAGGGGGGAGAGGGAGGAGAGGGGAGGAGGGAGGGAGAGAGAGAGAGAGAGGGAGACCCTGATTCCCGAAGGTGATTGGTCGCGGGAGGAGGGGCGAGCCGGAGGAGCGGGTCCCGCCGCGGGGCCTGCAGGAATCGCTGGCTCCGGCTGCCACCTAGCGGACGGGAGCCGCTCCCGGGCGGCGCACTGCCGCGTCCCTCCTCCCCTCCCCGCAGGCAGCCTGTGCCTTTTCTCCAAACGAAGACAGCACTTTGAAAATTCTTTCAATGGATTTTTTTTCCTTGAAAGATCGTACTGGGGGAAAATGATACTTCTATTAGTTACATATTCTCCAATCGCATCCTCGCACCCCCCTCGTTTTAAGATCGCTCCCCTAGGCAGGCTCAGGCTGGCGCTGAGCGGCGCGGAGTGACAAAGCCTCCGCTGCCGCCGCCGGGGGTGGGAGCCGCGCTCTCCCGCCCGCTGCTCGACTCCGGAGGGCGTAAAAGTTTGTCTCAGCTCGAGCACTCCTAGCTCCAACAGGCCCTCAGGGAAAGGTGGAAGTAAATGGCCACGCTGTATTGACAGAGGTAGGGTTTGTTTTTTAATACTCGTTCTCACTTTAAGTCTCACCAGGGAGGGGTTTGGGAAGCACTGAATGTTTGGGGTACGTTTCGCGCTTCCCGGTGTCTCCAGCCTACATGTCGGGAGTCGGCGACCGCTTAGTGACGAGCGAGAATTTTAAAGAGCAGAATAAAGGGTTTCCCGAGCCTGCCCCACAGCCCCTCCAGCTCGAATAATGGAGAGACTGTCAATGCACTTCGCGAGCGGTGGCCCATTGTACGCAGCTGGTGGAGAGGAGGCGACTGGGGGGTGGCAGGAGCTCCTTACCCTCGCCTCTCTGCCCAGATAAACGCGCAAATGCGCTCGCATCTTCTGGTCAATTAAAAGGTGAAACGAACACAATTAAAATAGACCGAAAGAAAGAAAGAAAAGAAAGTCTTTCTATATTCAGATTCTAAATTTTATTTCCCATCCAGTCAGAGGCAGGGAGTTGAGGGGCAGAAGAAGCAGGCAGAGAGAGGCAGACAGGGAGAGAGAAAGAGAACTCGGAGAGAGATGGAGGGAGTGGAGAGGAGGCGAGTGCGAACGCCAGGGAACCGGAGGGCCGCTGGACGCCAGGTCCGCCGGCCCGACCGCCCTCGGACCCTGGTCAGTGCGTCGTGGGCACCAGAACGGGACTCGGCCAAATCCTGCCCCATCAGGCAAGTAACGCAATGATTATCGTTTCTTTTGAACTTGGGGTTGGTAATGTGGGCAGGCCGGGAGTCTTGGCTTGCAAGGCCTCCGCAGGCCGGGGCTGGAGTAGAGGCAGCTAAGGCGGTAGGAGAACTTTCCGCGGGGCTGCTCAGGACTGCTCCCCCCGGCCTCCGTCCTGCTGCGGCGCGAAGGCCAAGAGCGCGGCCGCCGCGCCTCCCTGGAGATGAGGATCCTGCCAGCGGAGCAGCAGTCCAAATTCAAAAGAGGCTCCCCCCACCCTCATCCGCTATTCCCTAAATCCCCCCAGCTGGAAATGGCTGCGGGGGCGAGGGACTGGCAACCGCGGACCCGCACTTTCAGCACCCGCCGGGCCATCTCTGCTGGTGCCGAGCCCGAGCCGCGGTGGAGCCGGCTGCAGAGTCTGGCCCGGCTGGCCCTGGTGCCCGCGCCTTGCCTGGCTTGGGCCAGGACCAAGGGAGCTCAGCGCTGCCGCCCACCTGCGGGTGCAGTTTGTAACGCGATCCCCTAACGTAACGCGATCGATGGCTGCCTGTCTGATGTGGGCGATACTGTCAGCGGATTAAAAGGCACACCAAGCCGCTCTCCTGAGCCGAGAACCGGCGGCGGCGGCCAGAGAGCAAGGGCATCCGCAGCCTAGCAGCGTAGCAGCCGAGCCAGACTCCTTGCGCCGCGGCAAGCGGGCTGGGGGCGGGGAGGGGGTCGCCTCCCAGGGGTGGGGACAGAGGGTGTGTGTGTGAAAGGAAGAGGCTCAATTAAAACCAACAAGAGCGCTTTCCTCCGCGCTGGGCAGAGGCGCGCGTTTGCGTCAGAGGGCGAGCGGGGCGGGCGCGCGGGGCGGGCGCGGAGGGCGGGGGAGCCAACGCTGGGGACCGCACCCCGGGGCTGGGTGGGCTCGGGAAAGAGGCAGCCTTGCCCAGCTGGGCTGGCCCGAGGTCAGGCTCTGCGGGCGAGGGCAAGGCAAGGCGGGAAGACTAACAGAGTCTGCCCGGGAGCGGCAGCGCCCACGCATCCTCACTGTGGGCTCTTCGAGCCCCCGCCGAGCTTTCAAACTTGAAAGAGGCTCCTGGGATCCGGGGTGACCCGGGGGCGGGGGCGGGGAGTCGGGCCCTAGAGGCCTCAGGCGAAGCTGCGGGCTCCTCCGGAAGGAAGGAGGAGGGTGCAGTCCGGGGCCCTGGTCCTAGGGGTGGGGGTGGGAAGCTGGTGGTGGTGGTGCCTGGAGCAGCAGAAGCCCTGGGCTTTTCAGGGGAGAGGAACGGCTCGCGCTCCTGTGGGGCATATGTGCCAACTTTCTGTCTCGAGCGGGGGCGGGGAAAAACCGAGGCTTTTCAAGGAAGGCGCTGTCCCCTTCTGGGACTTGTCCGGCCCGGGCAGTACTTAGAGCTCAGTTTCTCTTCCGGACCCTGTGCTCCCTGACCGCTTGCACACTCACAGGGCACCCCGCTTGTGCTCACAGCCCTTCCTCCAGCAAAATGGCTTCCGTAGAGGCACTGAGGGTTCAGCCCAGTTCCTGGGGAGCCCTTTCTTTCTCTCTTCAAGGCTGTCGTTTGATACCGGTCCTACTTGGTACCCTTGTTCAGGGCCTAATGCGACCCACGTTCAACCAGGAAATATCGATATCTGTTGTTGCTGGGCAGGGTACCCAACAGAAAAGTGATATTTTTCCAAAGCACCTAGGTCCCCAAACTATGAAATCCTACACACAGGGCCATGGCTCAGCTGCAAGAGCAGAAAACGCAGTTACAATTTGCACCCTTCTTTCACCCATCCTCTTCTTCAGATCTCTCTCCCTCCCTTCTCTTCTCAGGCTCTTCACCCCGGAACTTTAAACCGAAACTGGACGTGTTTCTTGGCCCCAGGTGCTGTGGCCCTTGCCTCAGCATCCTACCCAAGGCCACCAGCCAGGCCTGCCGGGCTCACCCGGGCTTGGCCCTCTCCAGAGTCACTCTGTCCTGGTTAGGAAGGGCCTGCCCTGTGGCGTCTTCTCTGCCTGCCTGGTCCCCACAGACGTGTTCAATGCACACGAGGTGTCCAGTGTGGTTTCCCCACAGGGCGAAGAGAAGGTACCCCTCTGCTTGGGGAAAAGAATTAGGTTGTTCGCTTACAATACCCCTTTTGGGCTACAAGCATCAAGGCTCAGCGTTAATTACCTTTTAAAAGATCTACCACACAACGCTTGATCTCTCCCAGCCGGACACCAGTAAATAGTTGTGATCTCGTGGGAAAAGGAGAGCAGCAGAAATTTGTGGCTACACGTATAACGTTGCCTCGTGTTCAGAGTCCGGATCTAAGCGGACTTTCTAGCCGATTAACATCCTCCGCCCCGCCCCAATATCATTCTCACTAGAAGGCTGAAACACTCTTCACTAATTCTATGGCCTTTTTTATATTGGTATTTTGTTTTCCTGAAAGTCATTCATTTTGGCTTTTTGGTAAGTCACACTGAACAAAGGTGGACTTGTAAAAACATTTTCTAAATCTAGTTCCAGAGCCATGGGACCCTACAAATGACCAGATATGTGTAAAAATTCTCTTTTATGCCTCTTCCTTACCCCAAAATCGTTTAAAACGGTATTACTCTGCTTAGAGAGACTGCAGAACAGAAATAACCCTGTTTTTATCAAGCCCATCTGGAGAGATGAACATGCCTGCAATCATTGGTAGAAAGGTCAGTGCCTCTGATCTTGCTGCAGACCTTTCCCAAAGAGCTTATTTTAAAGGTGCCGAATCAATTAGTCTCCCCTGGCATGAGATTAAGGCCAGAAGGAACGTAGTTGAAGATGTGTTTAAAATTGTCTTGTACAGATCTTTTGGAGGAAATGGTATAGAGAAGCACAAGAATTCCCACCTAATGTTTTGTGATTATTAAAAACCAAAACCAAAATAAACAAAAACTCCAGCTTAATCTCAGAAATATCTTCTCTACCCCCAACATTAAACTCAGTCTGTATTGTGGCTGCACAGCTGTAAAAAGTTCTACCTTTGTAAACATAAAAACAAGGTGAACAGGCCAAGTTAAGAGTCAGGCTTCTGCTGGACTGCCTACTCTTAGCTTGCTCGTGTAGTTGAACCATGGACCCAGCAGGCTCCAGGGCTTACTCTAGCCCAGGCATTTCTTCTTTGTCACCTTTGGGTCAAAATGCTCAGAGATAAGTCCTTTACCTTAGTAATCGGTTTAGTTTTCTATCTCAAACCCACCATTTAAAGCATTTGTTTTGGAAAAAAGAGATAAGGGAAGAACTTCCCTTTCTGCCTGGGCCCAGGAGTAGCAGCTGTGGGAAGATGGCAGGAGAGCGGGCACTGACCTTTGGATGCAAATCAAGCCTTTTTAGAGGAGAAAAAGTGGCAATCATTCCTAGCACACCAGTGAAGCCAGAGCCAAATATTTACTTTTTGTAAAAATAAAGTCTTAGCTACCTGAATGCATTTATGCTATGCAAAAAGAAAGAACTGGACTTTTTTTTTATTATAAAACATTTATTTTAAATGTCCAACTTGAGTAAAGAATAACTGCATGGCTATTCTTCCTGGGGAAAATGGGTTTGGTTTGGATGAAATTTGAAGTTTTGAACTGAGTTTGAAGGTTGGTAGAGCACCCTGACAATACAGTCAACTGCACTATATAATCATTTCCCTTAATAGTTACCTGTCAGAGTAACCTATTTCTTTTAGTACTGGATTAACCCGTCAGAAGTAGATCTGAGTTGGACATTTCACTGACTAAAGACTGCTCAAATATGTTTGTCTTTAATGTCACTTTCTTCACTGTCTATGAGATAAACTAGTGGAAAAGTATTGGCTCCAAAAGCCAGCATATCTGTTGGTGTTACCAGTCACACTGCAATCATATTTACCTATCAGAAGGTTGATCTGAATAATAAACCTAACATTCCCTTCTAAACTGTCAGTGGAAAGATATGTTTATTACAGTGTCCTCCAACACTGAGCAGAGAGGGGATTTAGGTAAAGTTTGAATGAAAAAGAATGAGCATAGTACACCACTGATAAAAGCCACATGGAGCAGTAAATAATTATTCTCTTTGTTATGGTATGTATATTTTATTTACCCATTTCAGAGATGGAAAATAAACCTAGCCCATATCCAGGAGGAGTTAATAAAGTATTCCAAATGCATGGTCTAACAAAACTCAGGGATAGTTCTGTGTTTTATTGTTAACCCCTTGCATGAAATCTTCTGAAGCTGAAAAGAGAAAGGAAAAAGCTTTTGTGTTAGTTGATCCTTGGCTATTCTAGGGCTCAGGTTGGTGTGAAAGGGACGAGGAGGTCACTTGAAATCTCCTTTTATCTACTCTTATTTTCTCTCTGGATCAGCAACTTTGAATGGACATCATCTAATCGCTCTTAATGGAAAGAAACTATGGGAGCAACAAAAATGCTTTTACTCCAGAAGTGAATACATGCATGCAGACAGCTAGCTGAGCTTGCATAGAACTGAATCCCTGCACACATGTGCTTAGAGATTTTTCAGGTTGCGTGAGTGTATATGTAAATGTTTCCCATACATTCTGTGGGGGGTTAATTGGGTGGGTTATTTTTCCTGTACACTTAAGAATGCACACATATTTACATTACAATTCTCTAGCAAGTCCAGGTGATTCTTTCACCTGATTCTTCCTTCAGCTTTTTTATGTTCTCATTCTCTGGGCATATTTAAGTTCTGGGAGAAAAAAAACAACAACAAATAATTGAGAACACAATGGGCAGCCTTTTAGAGAAGTCATCTTATTTCCTTTCTGTTTTCAACTGGAAGTCATACTGATAGGAGAATTTCTCTTGGGGGGGGGCAGAGAGTGTGTGACAGGTGGGAGGTAATGGGGTAAGACAAGACCTTTACTTTCAATATCTTCCCAAGATTTTTTTCCTTTTTGGTGTTGCTTGAAATTAAATTGGTTAAAACACAATAAATAAGTGGAAAACAAGAGCCTGACATTAGTCTATATAAAAGTTTTTCATGTTCCCAAATCAT